CATAAAGAGTAATTTAATAGACAATTCGTGGTACACAATTTTTACGAGTTTGTGCTTTAGTAATTCGCGAATTTAAAATACAAAAAAATTTTGAACAGTAAAGCATTTAAAATCCCTGCTGTAAAAATTTATAATCTATCATTTAAAATATTAAGATGAAAAATCGAGCCCCGGGGACGCAAATCCGACTCTGGAAACTAAGGGTGCCTCCATTTCGTTGCACTCGAAGACTAGCGTATACACCATTTTGTAAATATCGGCGATCGTACTCGGGAAGATCGTAATATACAGAACATTTCGAAGACCGTGTGCTACACAAATAATTAATTTGTATGAAATAAATATATACCCTTAGATTAAATATTATTAAGTATGTAATCTTCTAACTCAGTAATTTATAGACAATATTACAGTTTGTCTCTATTTGATTCGTATGCGAGGCTGAGGCCTAAGCAGTGGACACATGGGGGACCTAGCATATTAGCGTACCCGTAAATATGCGGCGACGATTTTCCTTTTTAAAAATGGCTCCATTCCTTCCGAAATCAGTATCTTGTTGGCTAAATGACCAGTGTACATCATGCTTCACAGATTCACCCTATCATTCACAATTTCACTCAATATATGCGATTTTCAGAACATAAAACAACATTTTTATAACAATACTTAGTAATAAATACTGTAATACTTTATTACATAGTAGTACACATTCACATGTTTAAACTAGCCTATCTCTTTTAAATTATTATGGAATATAAATATACATGGTGGTACTGTATTTGATTATGATATCCTTCAGAACATTTATTTCAATAACTATGGTAAGCCTACATTCCCAGACTGACATAAACACTTGATACAGTGCAGGAAACAAGAGTACTGAGGTAGACAACATTTCATTTTCTGGTTGGTACTTTACTAAAAAATCTGATTAATAAGAAATTATTTATATTTGCATAAGCATTAAACATAATTAGTTTGCTTATTTCTTCTGTAAGTAATAATAGTAATAATAATAATAATGAAGACAATTGTTCTTTATAAACAAAGCAAAGCCAGTATTTAAAAAAAAAATTAAATCAATAACAACACTGCTGCAGTGGTTTTTTATTTATTATTTTTAAGCAAGTTTTTGTTTTTCCATAGGCAGGCTATTCTGCTGCATTTGCGGCATTCTGAGTAGATTAGAGTTCAATGGTTGAATCCTTAAGCATCATTATAAAGTTTTTAACATTGCACGTTCATAACAGTTGTTGTCTGCAAATCTGTACAGAATCTGAAATTGGTGTGCCTAAAAATAAATAAAATATATTGGTTACATATATATAATGTATTCAATAATATAGAGATTGGTATGCTTTTGGTATTTTTTTACTAACACTAAAGCCTGAGTTATTAATTAAAATTATTACAACATGAATCAAATTGTGCTTGCGAAAGCAACTTTATTTTATCAGTGTATCTCAGTCACAATGCCCGAAATATTTTGTGAAACACACTACACTAGTGATATAGGCTGTACCTTGTTTTTTGTCATTTTTTTTTACAGGTTAGCGGTTTCGAGAGAATTCTCTTTGGTGCCAGGCTTTAAGAAGCCCATTTCTCTTTTGGTATTCCGCTAACCTGTCTGTTTTTTTTTTGTACTTCATTTTCATGCGTTTTTGTATATGAACTACTTTGTACTACTGTGTATGTTTCATCAAATATTATAGACATCACATATGCCTATATTACAGCATTAAAATAAATCCCCGCTAGCTAGCTAGGCTGGTAATATCAGTATGATTATAGAAATTAGATGGAAATAAATACAGTAGTACACATGGTCTATCCTAAACTAACAAAGCCTCAGTCTTCCTTCACTGTCAGACGCCTACTCCTAGGCTAGTACAACAATGGATCGCACCACCATGCGGCCCGCGGCTGCAGTCAATGTCACTCAGCTACGACTACCGCGTGATCACACATGCTCAAAATTATGCCTAGAATTTTACGGCCTATAAGTATGATTAAAAATTTTTGAACAGATTTGAGACAGGTCTTACCTGACTAAACTAAGATTAAACATGATAAATCAACACTTCAAAAAAATATTGATTCCCGGGGACGCAAATCCGACTCTGGCGAAAATTGTAAATAAAAGCCTAGTCAAGTCGTACCAGATTTTCACTATTTCACATGCGTCAAATTCAATCGATAAATGCTTTGCGTTAACGTGGGTTTTCCCAAACAACCCCGATTGGTTCCGAAACTAGACTTATTTGGAAATGTTTTTACCATATAAGGAAGCCATGGGCGGGCCTTATCTATTAATGAGAACTATAAATAGAGCTGATGCAATTTTGCTAAGCGACGCTAAAACGTGGTTACGCTTTGAAACGGTAGGTGGCGCTGCGCAAAGCAAATGCGGAAGTAAGATCGAAAAATCGCGATATAACGGACAAATCGTCTATCGGCTGTCCTAATTATTGCAGAAAAAAAATATTTACATGCTTTACATGTACAGTAACTGTTAGCATGCTGTTAGTAAGAATACTACATTAAGTTAAATAAATTAATTCTGAGTACCCTTTGCAGTTTCGCATTACTGTAACTGTAACCTTGCAGCATGCAATGTCCTTGGTAACTTAGGAGTTTGTGATTGGCAATCGGTAGCCTACAAATATGGTAGTGAATGGGCGTATACAAAACAGACACTCACAACCAAGGTTTTTCAGGTTTTACATTAGATGTGTAATGTATTTATAATGATGCTAACCACCTACTAACAAGAATGTGCATGGTCAAAACAATTAAATAGCACCCGGGCAAACCGGGGTAGTCTAATGCATTTTAAACTTGTACCTGTCATCCTTATTATATTTTATTGAATGTTACACAATTTTACATTTAAAAAATTGGAGAATAGGCCTATATTTTTCTTAACTATTAATGTATGTTTTTCATGTTATGTATCATGTATACATCTCATTTGTATTGTTGAAGGCACCATAAAATTAACTCACACTGGATGGGTCACCCTCGCGAAATATGGTTGAATAAATAAATAAAAAATACAATTTGTATTATTGTACAGTAGGTAGTTTTTACTGTAGCATCACTGCTCGCTGTAGCCTATTTTATCATAATTGTATTATGTTTATCATTTTAATTAATTATCATATAATAATTTATACTATTATCACTAGTATCCAGTGTACACTTGTTACCGCTTGTTACAACCTCTATAGTACAAACCGTCAATGTAGCACACTCCACAGCCTGTCTCTTATACACATCTAGATGTGTATAAGAGACAGCTCAGTCACAATGCCCGAAATATTTTGTGAAACCCCAGCTAATGTAGAACGCTCAACAGCTACTGTAGTAACGAAAATACTCACAGCAACTACCGGTACTATCGCCAGCTATTGTAGAATAGGCCTATAGTATAAAATCCTATATGAAAGAAACTTCTAATTGAGGTTACCAGCTTTAAACTGTTATGTCCTTAAATTAAAGGGTCAAATCTGGGTTCACATTTGGTGGGGGTAGGGGGTTACATTTTTTTCATAAAAAAAAACCCCAAAAAAAGGGTCCGGGTCTTCCCCGGGAAAATGTTGCTACCTAGATGCAGAAAATGAGCTTTCCCGACTTCTAAGTTCTTCAAAATTCATTCTTGAAAGCGGTCAGGTAAACTTTCTCATTCTTTTTACAGTAAACAGGCCTCATATGTGTGTATACGTACGGTACATAAAAAATGAGTAGTTGCAAACGAAATCTTTTTTCTATGAATCGATGAACACCTAATAGAACGGATGATCCGTTGATTCCTAGATGGCGACTAATGAGTTTTCCTATCAATGACTTTAAAGTTCTTCAAAATTTAAGGTTTTTCCCTTTTGTAGTTCAGGTAATTTTTTCTCATTCTTATTACAGTAAATAGGCCTATTATGTGTGTAGTTGCATACGTATTCTTCTTTTCCATGAATCAATGAACCCCCAAAAAAGAAGGAGGGTTAAGGGTCCTCCTCACGGAAAAAATGTGATACCTAGATGGCGGGAAATGAGCATTTCCGATTTCTAATTTTTTCATAACAAATAAGAAATTCAGCTCACGTGTCCTGAAATGGTAGGCCCAGATTTTTTTTTTCTTT